TCACACCTGAGGTGGTACCTATTCAATGGATGCCCTCAATCACTGTTCGCTAAGGAAGGACTGAGGAATTCATGAGACTGTTGCTAATGTTTCCAGATACCAAAGAACATGCCTTTAAAGGTGACAGTCAAGTCCATCCCAGTGCATATATATTTTCCTGAATATTTCAATTATAGAAGAATTTTAAACTCAATGAAGGAAATGTTTAAATGAAAAAAATCATATAGCCTTGATATCTTCCAGTGCCAAATGTTACCATTTGTTCTCCTCCTTATCTATATACAAAATAATCATGTCTAGCTGTAATTTTAGCAAGAGACATTCTGCTTTTTCTCACTTAACATTTTATCATACATGACTTTTCCTTGAAGAAAAGGCTTCATAATTTCTCTGTGTAAAGCTAACTTGTCCATTCTCCATGAGTCTCATTTTTAATGATTGCATGCTATTAAATCCACTGATTATGCCAGAAATTCCCTATACTTTCAACATTGTTTCCAGTTTTCTAAATTTTCATTGTGTTAAAGTGCAGATTGTTTATGTTGCTAAAAATATTTGTATAGTCATGAATAAAATCATAAATGGCAAGAAATATTTGAATAATGCCACCAGAACTCAGAATTCTCATTTTATTCTGAAAATCCAATGCGTGTGTGTTGTCTGGCCCTCCCTGGCACTCACCTCCCATTCCTGCATTTGACTTCTGGGATAAACCCAGGGGGAGTGGGGCTGCATGTTTCTGATGTGAAGTTCATGGGTTTTGGGGACACTTCTGAGGAAAATATACTGAGGTACAGAGGCCTGGGTACCAGTCCTACCTTTGGCATGTATGAAGTGCATGATCTTACTCAAATCAGAACTGTCCAAGCTGTGGCCCACCTCGTCTGTAACTTGTGGATAGAGATACCTGCACTGGCTCTAATGAGGGTCAGGAAATGTAAAAGTGCTTTTGTAAGTCCCAAGGATTTACACAGATACAACGTAGCATCGCTCCTGTTATCATTGTTACTGGTTTAACTGGTCCCTCTCAAGGGCCAACTGGTCCCATGCCTGAGTCCTTTACAGTGACCCGGAGGTTCTCTGGGGCTAGACAGGTCTGTGTTCAAGTCCCTGCTCTATCACTTACTAGCTGCAGGATCTTAGAGAAGTTACTCAACCTCAGTTTCTGAAAGGTGAACTAATGGCTTCTGACCTCATAAAGCTGTTTTGACAATGAGCCCAGGATGACTACTTGACAAATATTAATTGGCTTCCCCTTCCCTTCTTGTGCAGGCCCTCATGAAGTGACCACGTCCCCACTGGTCACTGTAGATCACCAACCAGATGAGCCAGTTAACTTTGAAAAAACTTTTAATGTTCTTACGGCTTAGCCCCAAGTGCACATCCTTGACTGTAAGGAGGCCTAGGCAAGAAGTACGGGAAGTCTAATGAGCCCTTGACAACCATTAGGGAAAAATACCAAACCTCGGAGTGAGGACAGGTCCCAGGGCTATGCTTCCTGTGATTCAGCGTAAACTAGTATGGGCTGCAACCCTTTCTAAAGATCTAGACTTCACTTTGAAAAGCTTTTTTTATTTTTTCACCTGTCCCTAGCAATTGTCTCATTCTTGAACACTTGGCTTAAAGCCCAGCTGTGACTCTAGAAGTTGGTCTGTAAAGACCCTGTTTACTGTGGGGCTGGCCCGCCCTCCCGTGCTTGGGTAGGCTGTGCTCTCATAGCCCTTCATTCCCTCACAAAGCATTCAGTGGGCACCAACCTGGACCACCACTGTGCCAAGTGCTAGGGATGCAGAGATTCAGGTCACAGCCCGTCTCAAGTTACTGTCCAAGAAGGACAGACGCAACCACAAGTGTGGTAAGGGCTTCAAAGAAGCCAGCACAGAGCACTGCAGGAGCACTGGGGGAGGGTGTCGGCTCGAGAGCCAAGGCAGACAGAAAAAGTGAGGTCTGAGTCAGGTCTTCACTAAGTATGTCTAAATTGGATAGGGCAGGGGAAGGTGGTTTTCTAGACCAAGGACGCAGCCCCTTGCGGGTTCACACACATACCACATTGCTGCAGTAATTTGTTTTCGTAATTGTAATTTCCCTCAAAAGTAATGTCTCACTCCTCTGTGAATGACCTAAGATTAGGTAGATACCAAAGTTGGTAGAATCAGTGGATGGATGGATGCACAGACACAGGATACTAACTAGAGAGAACTTCTAGTTATAACTGGATGATAAATGGAGTCATAGTCTCATGAACTGCACCTTCATGTCTGTTCTTGCTGGATCCAAATGGCGGTTTCTAATGATACAATGTTTTTCTGCCCCCTTCAGGTGGCAGGAAATGCTGTGAAAAGAGCCTCAGACAATCTCGTTCGTGCAGCCCAGAAGGCAGCATTTGGCAAAGCTGATGATGATGATGTCGTAGTGAAAACCAAGTTTGTAGGGGGCATTGCTCAGGTTTGTGCTTGAATCCAGTGTTTACTCCCCAGATGGGCAGTGTGTTACATCAGACACGCAAAGTAACAGCGACTTACACAAGATGGAAGCTTCTCTCTCATGAAACAGTCTGGGTTGCAGAATCTAGGGATGGTGTGGCTTCCTTTTGTGTGAGACCCAGGCTCCTCTGCCTCTTTACTCCGCCATCCCCAAGATGTTGCCCCCTCGGCTACTTGGTCTCAGATGGCTCAGTAACCACCTTGGCTTTCCAGCGAGCAGGGAGAGAGGAAAAAGGGGTGGGCATGACCCTGGAGTGCATGCATCCCTTTCTCCCAAGTATCCTTGGTCAGCACTTAGTCACAAAGCCAACCTAGCTGCAAAGGAGGCTGGGAAATGTAGTATTCTTTTCTGAGTAGCCATATGCCTAACTAAAAATCAAGGATTCTGTTAGGAAAGGGGAAGAAGATAAATGGCAAGACAGCAATATTATCATTTAAGTAATGCATTTAGAGCTACTACCTACTCCAGATATTTGGCCCCACAGAGAGAATGGATGGTGTCCCTTTCCCAGAACTTTGATAGGAGTAGATGGGATTCTGACTTATGCAGAATTGCATTCTTAGACATGGGAGTGAGAAGGAAACTTCAGGAAATCAGGCCTGCAGTTTTGGGTCTGTGTTGATATAAAGTCATTATATGAGACTGGTTTTCTCCTCAGCACCGGGAGCACTGTGAGGCCCCATTACTGAAGTTACTTCTACCCACGCCTGCCTTAGCTCTTCATGAACCACTCCCTGGGTTTGCAAATATACTGGATACATTTTGACCAGAATCTACCTCTTGACACACTAATTCCAGGAGAAGTTTAATGAAGAAGAGTCTCTGATCAAATAAGTCCAGGAAATACTACACTCTGAACCTCCACCTCAGAGCATCAGTGATCAGTAGCCTCTAGTACGAAGGCTCTGCCAAAGGCCCACGGAACGAAATCCCGTGGCTTGGCTTTCTTGAACAAAACTTACCCTTTCTCAGGGTAGCTATTAACTAACACTCCTCAGACCATACCTTAGAAGCATAAAATAAATATATGAAAGCCACCTAGTGGTTAAGGATCCCAGCTTTAGCTTCAGGAATACCTGAGCCGGGCCCTGCTCCACTCGCTGAGGCACTTCAGGGAAGAAAGACCCAAACCTCTCAGTTTCAGATTCCTCCCTGGGAAAATGGACACTCGCTGGGGCACACTTCACCGCGTTGCCATGAAGACGATGGCACTCCATGTTCAGTGCTTCCACTGGGGCCCAGTGCCAGTAGGGATGCAGGAGGTGTTTGCTATTAAGTCAGTGGCCAGAAGTCAGTGTATTTTCTTGGGTCAACTGGGCCATTGGTCTCAAAACCACACTGGCCCAGAGGCTAGTCTCCCCAGCTAAAAATACTTATTCCCAGGCCCTGCTGTGACTTCCTGCAGTCGAGGCTGTGGAAGTTCCTGAGGAAAGCAACGGAGGGGGGTGGGGGCAGCCGCCTGGCAAGTTTTCAATCCATCCAACTTGCTGCTTTCCTTCTAGATCATCGCGGCCCAGGAAGAAATGCTGAAGAAAGAGCGAGAACTGGAAGAAGCAAGGAAAAAACTGGCCCAGATCCGCCAACAGCAGTATAAATTCCTACCCACGGAGCTGAGGGAGGATGAAGGCTAAGTCCGGGGCCCAGGTGGCAGGCTCTGGGGGCCTGCTCTGCAGAACTGGACGGTGGTCCCAGAAGGCGGGGCGTGACCCGGAAGCTCCCTGCCTGCCTCTCCCTGGGGCCAGACCAGAGCCCCGCGCGCTCATTCTCACATCTCTGTCCTGCTGGGCACCGGCTGCATGATCGTGATGTCACACGGTACAGAGTCCCACCCACAGCTCCTACGCCGCCTCCCTCATGCCCTACCATATCTCAGGAGAGAGGGGCACACGTTTCGTGAACTGTTACCAAAAAAGAGAAGTCAGTATTATGTCGTTCTCAGACACTTTTGCTTTTGTTGGTCTTTCTCTAGGCCTCCTCCTGGGCCTTTTGTGAAATTTTAATTGGAAACAAAAATAATGGCTCTGGGGAAATCACTGATGTCATGGATATTCTTCTCCCTCTCCGGAGAAGATGGAAGTTGGAGTTGGACACAGTTAATCAAAGTCAGAAACATAAACCAGTGTGGACTTCAGGAGGGCGACCCGGGTCATCCTTCTGTGTCTTGGGCACTGGCTCGGCCCAGAGGGTGAAGAATTCCTGCTCCTGTTTGCACGCTTTCTTGCCTCCGTGTGTAAGCTCCTTGTACAATCTAGACCCATCTTGTATTCTGCAGCCCAGAAAATGGAACGGTTATTTTTTTCCTCCATAATTCGAAGGGCAGAGGTATGGGGAACTGTCAGACTTGGTGAGCAGGGGCTGTAATAAAATGTGTGGGCTCCTTACTCTGCGGAGGCTGTTTCAATTCATGCAGATTGCCCCATACAAACCTGTGTCCCCAGATGACAGTCAACACAGCATCCCCTCCTAAGCATTTGCGGTGGGGATTCAGGTGGGATAAAGCAGTTCCCTGGTGACTCCATCTTCCAGGTCCCACATCGGCTCCTCTGCTTTCAAAATGGTCAGATTCGGAATTGGAAAGCATCTATCACATGTCCTCCATCCCCAGATGGACATTTCTCCTATGTCTTAATATTCCTAAAGCCTAGGTACATCCTGAAATCAGTCAGAACCTTTCACGGGATAGTTTTGCTTATTATTACATCTTATAAGTGGAAAAACATGGTATAAGAGTCCATCTTCTGGATGCCACTCTGCCAGATTTCCTATTTGTCCCCCCGCCACCTCTTCAGAGCCCCCTCCCTCTCCATGGAAGGGCATTTGAAGACCTTGAATTTACCTTTAAACAGCCTTTACTCAAGGCAGCACATGAAGGATGATGGGCTTCGTGATAGAGTGCAATGCTGGGGAGCAGGTATCTTTGACAGAATTTGTGGTGGGAAGACAGTGGTCATGGAGGCACGTGGTTTCCAAGGTGATAACTGCTGAAGGCCACCCTCCGCTTCTCTGCAGCACCATGTGTCATGTCTGGTATTTTGGTCACGGTGTAGTTTTTTCACAGTTCCGCCCCGAGTAAACGTCGACGCTTTGGTCCTCAAAAGGTGTCACCTCTAGACCTTGCGACCTTGCCCAGTGGTCCTGCTTTAGCAGTCTCTAACCCATGTCATGGTTTTAACATACAATAAAACTTCTGACAGTTTCCCATATATGAGCCTTATAAGGGCCACACATAGGATTATTTTTTTTCCAGACAAGAGGAAGTCTGGAAGCCAAGACAGTGTAAATGTAAAGCAAGGGGAGAGTGTGTGTAGGAAGCTGGGACTGTAGGCACCAGCTCTGAACGGGAGGTTGCTGGTGGGGCCCTGGCCTCTCAGGGAGAAGCTGACATACTCCTGCCTCACCTTCTTTGAGTGTAGCTAGAACAGCTTTTCATCCCTGCCCTGGGCTGTACCCCTCAGACTTCAGGATGAAAACTGAAGGCCCCATGGATGGAGAAATACTCCACAGACAGGCTCAGGCTGCTTTCTAAGGCTCTTAAGAGTCAGGCATATAGGCTCAGCGTCACGATGTGCTGCTGGCCTCACCTAGCAGGACTCGGGAGCCCCACCATAGCCCACCCTCCCACCCACCCCCTTTTCCAGACTGTGGTTGCCGTTCGTCCCCTCCGCCTGTCCCTTGTCACTTCCTGGCATCCCAGGAGCCTGGCAGAGGCAGGCAGTGAGTTTTCTGTCCCTGCCTCAGAGTCATTTAGAAACTCTACTGCATTTGATACCAGAAAAAAACCGTCAGAGACAGGCTGAATGGAACCTGTCCTTTATACTTCAAAGAACAGGCCTGAACATATTTTTGTGGGACCTTTATAATGTCCTTCTGCCTGGAGTATTGTGCTGCTAGGAGCTTTGGGGGTAGGTCCCCAGTTACCAGCTGGTGTGGTGCCGGCTTTTCTTTTGCCCCCCTCCCCCATCCCCTCAGCATATGCGTCTGTGTGGCCTCACACTGGCCTGGTCTCATCTCGGGAAGTGGCCATAGGCCGTGCTGCATCTGAGCGTTATTCAGTAGGAGCTGCTGCAGGGGTCCCCCATGGCCCTGAGGAGGGCTTCCGGGTCTTCCAAGGCAGGTATGAGGTCCGTTTTGGGATGTGAGCTTTCATTGCAGAGCATCTAAGAGGAGGATGGTTTCAGGGGACAGTGGTCCCTGGCCTAGAGCATAGAGATGCATCCCTCTGAGAAGCCAGAGCAGGTGATATGTGGAGATGTGCTCCCGAGGGGAGCTAACGCTGGGCTTTGAAGCCTTGGGCTGATCCTGTGGACAGAAATTGCTATCTCTGAAGGTCAAAAAAGGAGTCTGATCTGGATGAGTTGGGAGTTTGGATTTTGCTTGGTTCTGCCTTTCAAAAGTCTCTGGGTAAAGATGCTAAAGCTACATTTGTTTAAACTCTGCTGGCGTTAAGTCAGGTGCAGACCTGGTGGTCAGTGCACACAGGTAGCTTGAGTACTGGGTGGCCCTCCTGTTGGGTGTCATGGCCCTCAGACCACCTGCAGAGGAGCACCGTGGCCTTGAGGGATGAGCCGACCTGAGCTGTGGCATGTGCTTTATCACAGAAAATCCCCTGCAGCTTTTCATAGGCTTTCCCTGCTTGCTTTCTGGGTGTTTCATCAGTGAGTTTACAGGCAACCAAAGCCTACTGTAATTTATCAAAATATTATGACCAAAATTTGCCAACCCCGAGTGAACCCCACCACCAAAATGACCCCAGAACCAAAGCCTCAGGGGACACCAGGCAGCAGGCAGTGGTGGTGAGCCAGCAGCAGTCTGCATCTTAGGGGACCCGAGCGCCTCCCACTAACAGGCCTATTTCGTCCTTGATACAGTGAACCCCAAAGTGTCCCCCAGCTCTGAGATTCTGGGCTCCTGCAGGGTCCCTGGGGATTCTGGCCTTAAGGCCCCAGCACAGACGACCAGCATGTTCGGCTCTCAGCCTCCTGGAGGAAGCATGCCCTCCACGGCCCGAGGGGGCAGCTGCCTCTGAGAGCCTTACTGGGGACCCGAGGAGTTGGAGGAAGATGTTCGCTCAGGCCCAGAGGCTGTCGGGTCCTGACAGCTGTGCTCGCGCTCGGCACCCACCTCCAGTCTCCTCCAGGTGCTGGCCTCAGGAGGTGGCTCTGGGGGAGGCCGTCTTCCCCGCGGGGTTCCCGAGCTCCACCCTGAGGGGGCTGGGCACTGCGTCCCTGTCTTTCTGAGCCTGCCTGGTATGGTGTGTTTGTGGTCATTAGGAACAAGCATGTGACAGCGCTTCTGTTGCCTGATTTAAAAAAACACTCTGAAGAGACATTTCTGCAAAAGAAGTTGGGGTTTGGCCTTCCTCTGAGCCCACCCCCAGCCCTCCCAGAAGCATGTGTGTGAGTCACTGCGTTGACATCCCCTGGTTCCACAAAGCCCCGCACGGCTGGGTTTCACTCAGCAGCCGTCCCGCCACGCTGCACAGCCCAGGAGCAAAAGTTAAGCTCTGCCCCATTTCATAATGTCTTTACTGATCTGGTCGCATAAATTATTTTTTTTTTTTATTCACCAGAAATAAACTTTTAAAGGAACGGACCTGTGTGAAAGTCTTGTGGCCACGGGAGGAAGGTGGAAGGCAGGAGGAGAGTGGGTCATTGGGTGAGAAATCCCTCCTTGAGGGCTGCCCCCCGGTTCTCAGACACGTGGGAGAGGAGGAGGGGGGTAGGGGGCTGAGTGCACGTGTGTGTCAGGCAGAGCCGCAGGGCGCCACTGAGTCCCGTAGGGCTTTGCTGACTCTAGAGAAAATTCAAAGAAGAAATAGACCTTGAGGAGGAATATGCAGTTATTTTCTCTGAAAGAAGCAGCAGGTCTCCTGGCAAGCAGCTCGGCCTTGTGGATGCTGCGCTTACCTGACTGGGAGGCAGCTGGATGCAGAGTGCGCATGCTCCCCTCTAAACCAGGGAGGTTCACCTCCGACAGCGGGGGCAGCAGGGCAACCTCCTGGGATCGCACCCCCTCCTTCCTGCAGATTGCTTGGCCAGAGGCCTTGTTTGGGGGAAACCAGACTAAGAAAAATGGGAGGCATGTTTAGTCCACAGGAGGGCGATGTCAGAATGAGCCCCGCCACCAGGAGTGCGCCTCTGGGATGCCCCACGACGAAGGGATTGTTTCCCCCCTTAAAATGATGATTGAAGCTCTCCATGCCAGTTGAAATGTTTTTCCATCTGAGGCAGCTAACGTGAGCTGAGCCCCAGGGCCTCTCAGTGGGACGTGCTGCCCCAGGAGAGACTGGGGCTGGATGTCAGGGCAGGCTGTAGTTGAAGGGGAGGGGACGTTTGCGCTTGCACAGCTAACACCTAGCGTGTACTTACCTCGTGCCCAGCACTGACCTCAGTTGCTGCCTCACCCACTAATTTAATCCCTACCACATCCATGGAAAGCATGACACATAGGCACTCTTTTACCTTCATTTTATAGATGACAAGGCTGAGGCACAGAGAGGTTGGGTGACTTGCCTGAGGCCACACAGCAGAACTGGGATCTCCAAATCACTGTTAAAATCATACAGCTAGTGAATAACAAAGCAGAGACTCCCTCCATCCTGAGTTTAAAACACCAGACTCAAGGGTAACTCATGATACCAAGAAATTCAACTGTGAGGTTTTACAGGACGCAGTCACAGCAGTGTTGCTGCCTGAACTCCCCAGGTGAGGAGTGGCCCAGACCCTCTGCTGACCTGCAGTGGGGGCAGAGCTACCCTGGGGGGCTGGCACCTGGGAGGGGCAGGAATAGGCCCACACTTGCGGCCCCTATAAGAACTTCCTGTCCATCAGTCCTCTCCCAGGAAAGCTCAGTTTTTAAGAGAGAAGTTTGATTCTGTTAAGCCCAGACCCAATGTTGAAGGCATGTTTTCTGGCCTCACTAGAGGCTGTATCATGTAGCCTGGGGCTCGGGGCAATGCAGAGTAAGAAGGGGCTCTCAACCCCTTCTGAAACTGGAGGGACAAGAGGAGACAGGGAAGCAGAGAGATACAGCAGACCCTTCAGGTGAGCTGCCTCTGTGCCTCGGGGCCACACGCTTCATGCCTTTGAGCTCCCCATCACCTCACCTGATGGAGGGGCACTTTGTATGGGGACCATGTTTGGGTACAGTCCCCTTCTCTGGTGTGCATGTGGGAGGGCCCCATGTCTGCTGAGTAGATGGACCCTGACAAAGCACCTCTGCCCCTCAAGGGCTGATCCTGGGCTACAGGGAGGAAGGCCCTTTGCACCACTTGTCTGCCTTGTTATGCATGCTGGCTGCTTTTGACCACAGGGGGCAGTGTGGTTCCATGGCACACACACTGCTTGAGGGGGGAAAAAGGGGGCATTTCATGGGCAAATTTAAGAAATCATCAAAGTTCATACCTTAAGAAGGCTCTCTAACATGTCTTAGGGCCTGTAGGATTCTCACGTGCATTGGGTGTCTCCAAAAGGAGTAAAAAACATATTACTCCTGTTCCAAAGATCAGACCTGGGAAACTGGATAAAATGAGAGTTCCTGTGGCCAGGATTCTCACCTGGCCCTGGTTGACTAGCTCACTGCACACCTGTGGGCAATACATGGCTATTGACTTTATATAAAGAGCTCCACCCAGAGCTCTGGGCACAACACGGTGGCAGGGCTGCAAGGCTGTAGGAGGGCAGAGCAGAGGCTGGAGTGGTGGCAGTGCTGAGGACAGAGGCCCAGAGGATGGATGTGTGGGACGACTGTGCAGGCAGAGAGGCCCAGAGGACGGCTGTGCGGACAGAGGGGCCCAGAGGCAGAGACACTAGTGCTGGACCTCCCGCCAGGAGAACAAGCCAGGTAATAAACCCTTTCACCCCAAAGAACGTTTTGCTGTCAATTTCTTTGGGCACATTGAATCCATAGTGAACTTGCCTGGGGCTGAAACCCATTGGCAAGCAGAAACCTTGCTCTAAAATCCTGTTGGAATTATCATCCAGCTCCACTGCCCGTTAGCACACATAGCACACTCCAACATCACTAATATTTTGTCTGTGCAGCAACCTCATCTAAGTCATATGCAGGGGTCACATCCTGACACGAAGTGTCGCTAACACCTAAAGTCAAGCTGTGTGTATACGAGATATTTAATAAAGGTTGATTACCTGGGTGATAAACTTCAGACCGTGCCATCTGCAACCAGTGTTTATGACCTGGGGATCACCTATTTTGGACTCTGGCTGACTTGAACTTGAACAGGCAAAAAGAAAAAAGTTTGTTCTCCATCACCACATACCATAGCTGCCACCTTCCTTCCCCACCCCTCATGTGGCCCCACCATGCCACAGGGCACCACTGTTGCTAAAATAGTTCCTCTAAAAATTGCTTTCCCAGGGTTACCTTCCTAACACGGCTGCAGGGAAACACAACTTGACCCTAAATACACTGAAACCTCTTGCCCAGAGGATGCTGGCCATTGTTCCACAAAATCCAGAAGATGGGCTGCAGCTGGAAGGGGGCTGTTAATGGAAGATTGAAAGGGCCTCGGATGCTCTGAGTTGATCCCTGTAACATGGGGCCCGTAGCTCCAATCCCAGTGGAATGTGAAGGGCATCTGGAAGAAAAGGGGCTGCAGAGTGGGAGGAGATTTCTTTAATAAACCCAGTTTCCTCCAGCAGCTCCGTTGCCTCAAAGGGACACCTGAAATTCCACTCCCCAGCCCCCCTTCTCCCCTTTCCTTGCCTCATTAAGGCAGCACGATGAAGTGAAAAGAACATACATGGAGGCTTCGGACTTCAGATCAATATGGCTTTGAGCAAGTCTCTTCCAAGCCTATGGGGTCATAATACTGGACATGGCACTCATCTCCCCAACTTTTACTTCCCCCACCCCTTTGCAGCCAAAGCAATATTTTAGGGGCGATGACCTCAAGTCAAGAGCGGGCCTCATCTGGCCAAGGAGCCAGGAGGAAACGTCTGCCGGAAGCACCAGCCTTTCCCCCATCAGTGGTGAATGAAGATCCCCTTTTGCCCACAGGCAGAGCCGGCCTCGGATCGGAACCTGCCCCGAGGGTGGCAGAATGAAGATGATCAAAGAATCCATTTCTTTGGTGACTTTGTGGATCAGCCTAACTCTGATTCTTCCAGAATCCCCAGTCCCTAACCCAGTGCATTCCTGCCATGCTTAAGCCAGCCTGAGCTGGTCCTGCTGCCAGTGCCCTGTCACTGACCCCAGACAGCAGCCTTGTGGAGAAGGGCCAGCAAGGATTTGCCCCGTGTGGGGCACTTGGCAAAATTTTGTTTCCTCATTCCCGCATACCTCCTTAAAAGCAATCTTGAAAATATGACCAAAGAAAACCCCATTTCTTCCACTTTCAAGTTAGGTGCTCTCCTGTAGGCCTATCATGGTACCAGACTCCTAGTAGGTCTTCCATAAATACTGGAATGACTGAATCTGTGACGCAGCCCTGGAGTGTGATGTCGGTAATGCCTGCATTCCAATGTATGGCTTGCTTGATGGGGATGGAAAATGGTAACAGACATACCTGTGGACAGCAGAGGTCTCAGTCATGCTTCCATACTCTGCGATGAGCAGCTGGAGCCCAGGTCCTCCCCTCCCGCCTCCCCCAGTCTGCTTCCCAGCTCTCAGACATCTGCCGCTGGTGAGCGAGAGAAGCCTGTGGCCAATCACCTACAATGCAAACCAGCCGTGGAATGTCTGGTATGTAGCTTACGTGGTATGGTGTAGGTTTATTTTTTCTATTCATCCCTTGGCAAGGAAATCCTTAACAGTTTTGTCTGGAGCCACAAGCATGGAGCTGAGACCCTAGGGTGGAAAGTCCAGAGGGAGTAAGACAGTCCTGCCTCTTTTCTGCTCCTGGGACCACATAGTACCGTGCTTGACCAGGCGTGTTTTGCTCAGGCTCTGGCTTTTTACTCCGGCCGCCCAGAGAAGTCAGATTGAAATAGAAGCAGTGACCGCAGCGCGGGGAAGGGAATCACAGAAAGCTCCAGAGGGGACTAGGGCAGGGAGGAGGCTGGCCATGTGTGAATGGAGCCGGGCGCTTCACCATCAGCGTTCAGCTCCTTAGCTTGGTGCAGGGGACCAAATCTGGGCTGGAGATCTTGAAACCCGGGTTCCAGTTCTGGCTGGGTGACCTTGGGCACATTTCTTGATTTCTTGGAACCCTTTGTTTCCATAGGTTAACAGGCCTTCTGCTCCGACTCCAGCTGGATCCGGATGATGGATATCCTTGGTGTCTGACAGTTCTCAATAAATATTGCTATTCATTCCGTCAGCTAACACTCATTAAGGATTAACAATATGCCAGCCACAGTTCTAAGAAGTTTATGTTTGCTGACTCATTTAATCATCACAACAAACCTGCAAAGTAGATACTAATCCCATTTTATAGATGAGGAAATTGAAACACAATAAAGTCAAATACTTTCCCCAAGTTCACACAGCTAGAAAAGAGCAGATCTAGGAAATGAACCCAGGCAGCCTGGCTCAGAATTATACCCTCAACCACTATGCCATACTGTTGTATGTTACTTATTTTTCATAAAAACAAATGATATTATCCCCATTTTATGTATGCATGACAAAACTAAGAGAAGTCACACAATTTGCCCAAGGCTACACAGTTTTGAAGTGGTGGAGCCCAGAGGTAAACAAAGATTTTTCTACCAACTTTCATTCAAAGTTTTTCTACCACTTTGGGCCAACTCTTGACAGATCAATATATCTAAAAAGAGAAAAGTCTTCAAACTCCCTGGATAATAAATGCAACTTGTTGGATTTAATCCTGGACATCCTCATTTCCAGTCATGATCAGGGTGTCAAAATATAATTTTCAAAAAATTCATGCCTCTCATGCAAACATATTGCAGATGTGTCAAAGGTTTATTTGACTTATTCATGAAGGAACCAGTAGAATGGCAAGATTCATTCAAAAAACTGTAGAAAAATATGAGCCATCACCAAAAGAGAATGGCTGGAATAAGACTGTTTAATTATTTACAAATTGATTACCCTATGACACAACAAAACTATAATCTTTGGCTTGTAATCTAGTCTACCAAAACCATGGCACTTCTATAAGACAAGAATCATTTGCATCACTATTGGGCTCCTCTGATTTCACATGAACTTGGAGTAATACCCTATCACAGACACTAGTAAACAGAAGGTCAAAATAAAGGAATAGATCCCTACTGAGGCAGAAATGGCTCAGAGCACTGAGCTGATGACCACCAAAGCTGCTGGGACCTAGAGGAGCATAATGTTTAGGACTGGAAGACCACCACGTTCAAACTGTGGCCCCAATTCCTTTTGTGTGCTTGTGCAAATCGCTATACTCTTCGGAGCCATAGTTGCCTCACCTATAAAGATTTTCTTTTGTTAGGATAACAATACGCTTTCTTCAACCTCAAAGAATTTTTGCAAGGATCAAAGAAGAGTGAATATAACAGGACTATCAGTCATTGTTCTGGCTTCTGATTTAAGGGGGAACAGCCGCTGGTCCCATCCCCCGCGTGTTAAGGAGGGGCCTTGATGGACAACTCAGAACGTGGCAGGAGAAATTGCAAAGCCCTTAGCTCTGTGATGCACTGGCAAACACTGATGCATCCAAATGTGTCTGCCACCTGGAGTCCAAGCCATCCAAACAAGGATTGCAGAAGACTTTGAAGACCTGAGTCATAGGAAAGATTCAGAACTGCTGTGAAGGGTATTTTTGACAATGAAGCTTTGGAGGGAACCACTGACCCCAAGTCAGAACACCGGCTGTCCCAGGGTGAGCGCAGAGGCAGACATATGTCACAGTCTTAACCAGGGTTTGGCAAACTTTTCCCCCAGATGGTAACATTTTAGGCTTGGCAGTCCGCATGCAGCCTCTGTTGTTCATAGCGTTTGTTTTTATTTTTGTCTTTTACAACCTTTAAAAATGTAAAGACCATTCTTGGTTCCTGGCTATACAGAAACAGGCAGCAGGCTGAATTTGGCCCACAGGCCGTGGATTGCCAGCCCAAATGTTACTGGCTTTGGAGTCCAGAGCCCTGCCTCTGAATCTTGTTTTCTTTATTTTCTGGCTGGCTGAGCTTGGGCAAGCTTCCCCACACCTCTTAGCCTAGTGCCCTCATTTCTTTCATGAAATACTTGCTGCTCATCTACCACCTTGCAAGGCACAAAACAGTGTTTTTAAGGCTTAAATGAAATAAGAAGGTCCTGGTATGTGAAGGGAATGCAGCATAGAGCACAGCATCTGTTCCTGGGCCCGCAAGTACCTGGGGCTACCCTGGGCAGGGTTAATGACAGCCCGAGGACTCATACTCAGGCTGTCTAGGGTGAGTTCCAAGCACCTGTATTTTTGAAAAGCTGCTTCCATGAGTCTGGCCTGCAGCCACAGTTGAGAACCCCACGGAGGCATTCCCACTCCTTGCAGGTGCCTGGGCATCTACTCCAGGTGGTCTGAAAAGGGTCACCCTTGCAGATGGCACATTGCCTCTGGTGGCCTCATCGCCCCTCCTCCATGTCCAGCTAAACCTAGTGTCTTTCAGAGCAAAGCCTTGCCCCCATTCTGCTAAGGTGAAACTTGAGCTTCCATGCTCAAGGCACCAACTTGGAAGCCAGATGCCAATATCACGAGCAAGTGTCCTGAGAGCACAGACGCCGGAGCAGTAGTCATGGCTAGATACCTGCTGAGACCATCGCAGGTGTCATCTGATGTGTGCATTAGTCCTGGGCCCTTTTTACAGATGCAGAGACTGAGGCTCAGAAAGGTCACCCAGCTCCCTCCAGGCCACGGCACTGTCAGCACTTTTGGCAGAGAAGTGAAGTGAGTCTCTGGTGAGTATGGTTTCTCCTGGGAACTACACGCCTGTGCTCTTACCAACACTTCCCTTTATGGCATTATCTTTACTGCCATAGGATCAGAATGATGGAACAATTTTGCTCAGAATTTCCAAGGAGAATATCTCTTTTTTATTCTTGAAGCTCATAGTTAGCTCTTATCTAAGGAGCAACTTCCTCCTCCCAACATGGAGATCCAGACCTGGGGCAGTTCTGAGCTGGAGATGCCCAGGGTGTTGCTGATTCTTTGCTTTATCCAAAGCAAACTGTTCCTGAAAAGTCTGGATAGATACAATCACTAGATGATTTAACCTGTTTAAAGAGAGCTTCTGTGATGTTTTAAGGGTTTTGTTTGTTTTGGTTGTTTGTAAACAGGAGAATCCTTCTGCAAAGAGAATAATTTACCTTTATTTGGTTTGCAAATTTGAATTTTGGCATATTGGGTTTTCTTAATTATGTCTCTAACTTTTTTATATCTACTGCTCCTTCAGTGACCATTCCTAAATTCCCACAGATGGAGTTTGTACTGTGTGAAAACGGACTCTTTAGTGCCTAAGACAAAAAGAGCAAATATTTATTCAGTTCTGCTGTGCCAGCCTCTGCTAGACCAGATCACATATACTATCTCATTTTCTACTCTCAAAAATTCTGCTGTGTGGGATGTACTATCTCCATTTTACAGATTAACTGAGGTGCATGCATGCTAAGGGATAGAAATGGCATTCCAACCCAGCTTTGTCTGACTCCACGACAGGGGTTCTTCCCATGTCAGAAAGCATGAGATTTTTCTCATCATTGAAAACCTGAGAGAAAGCAACTCCATCCCCCACCCCTGCATCTTCCATCCCTTGCCCCAAAGGCCTTCAGTAAATCCAAATTCTAAGTTGACACAGGAACATTTCACATTAGCCCCATATTCCTTTTGTACAGTGACAGAAGGAGGTGGTTCGGGCATGCAGAGACTGCCAACGTGGCAGGCTTCCCCCAAGCACCTGCAAGCCCTGAGCAGTCTGGGCCAGGCAGGCGGTACCCAAGCCTGGCCAGGCTGCAGAGAAGAGTGTGTGTGGTGTAGGTGTCTGAGCCCCTGCCGGCGCTGCCCTCTGCCAGCTGGTCTGTTTCCTCGTCTGTATAGTAGGGTGCCTGCACAGTACAGTGGCCAGGAGGGACACAGCAGTTCTCGCCTGGAAGAGACCCTTCATAACCATGATTCCCTGATCACTGGACACCGTCCCAAAGCACAAATCCCCCTCCCCACTCATACACACCCTGTGAATCTAGGGACATTTTTTAAACGAACTTTCATATCCAGGCTGTTACCTGACCGCTGACATCAATCTGAGTTGAGTTCCGTTGCTTGTCGCCACGAGAGTGCTGAGGAATGTGGCTGCGGAGCTCTCAGCACAGGGCCTAGCCTTGAGAATGGCAAGTCCAGACAGTTGTCAGCTTTTGTGATGGCTAATATTGTCTGCATCTGTTTCTGCAGTGTCAGCACAGGGTAGGAGTGTTAAAGGTGGATCAAGTGGACTCGTGCAAGTGGCCCTGACGGTCACCTGCAGCTTGGATGCCCCGTGACAGAGCAATGCTGTAGCACTGCTCCAGTGTTGGTACTAAATTTAGTTCTCACCAGGGGCCCTGTGGGCCTGATAAACAGGGCCATCGGGGGACTAGAGAGCGCCATTGATGGAGCACGTGCTTTGTGCTTGGGAGCATTTCAAGAATCAAGTAAGCAGTTTTATCAGGCCAGGGAAAGTCACGGAAGATTTTCCAGAGAAGTTTAGATATTCATATAACAAATATACACTGACCACTTGCCATGTAGCTAGGAGGCTGGAGGAACTGGGAAGAGCACAGGCTCAGATCTGGGGACCTGTCCTCAGAATCCTGTCTCTGACACCGTGGAGGGGTCCATGGGGAGCCCCCCTAACCCCTGAGTCTCAGCCTTCCCAGCTGTGAGAGGTAGGAAGTGGACTAGATTGGTAGTTTTTGCACTGAATTTTCTTGGTGTCCAAGGTTTCTGGAGGTTCCCAGGGGCTTCCTGGGCACGAGTGTGTGAAGGGGAAACTAAAGGTCAGGACCCCATACCCGCTTCGACAGAGCTGCTTATCGACCAGCTTTTGCTTTTGGGGTTGTAGTCCATCTGGAAAAGAGTTCTGCTGCTTTTTAAAGCCTTAAAAACCAGCAGACTCCAGGTCGCCTCCAGCCCTGTCCATCTGGGAATACTGGGCCAGGCACTGCATCCTTTGCTGGGGAAGCACAGAGCTAGAGGCCCTGCCCTCCAAGAGCTTGGTGGGCAGGGAGGCAGCTGGGCAGGGCAGAGGTTCCCTGGACACATGGGGGCTTATCTGTCCTGAGGAGAACCCCTCCATGCCTGCACTCTCCCGAGCAGAGGGCAGGGCCCAGGGGAGGACTGCAGGAGCCAGGCATTCAACTTCTAGGCTAGCCTGGGCTCTGTCCTTCCTCTCTGTGTGACCTTTGGCAGGTCTCTAAACCCCTCTGAGCCTCATTTTCTTGAGTCACAGTCTCCTTTTGAGAATGAAATGAGATGGTAGACCTGAGACTTGACACACAAATGCTAATATCATTGTAACAGGAAAATCGAGATGGAAGAATCCATTTGACGCCAACTAACTCCAAGCTACAGATTTGCACTTCTGAGAGACACCGGCTGGTAAAACAGTGGCACAGGTGTCCCCACTCTGGGCTCTGAAGTGCTTTCT